TTTTGTAATATAAGAATGCGATTAAGTGAGAATCGCAACGTCGCGTTTCCTGCAGAATAGTTGAAGAGGAGGGGAAACGGCCTTGCTTCCTTCCCTCTTCGCGTCCTCGCGGAGTCAACGCGAGAAGAGGAGGAAACGAGAATCGCGACGTCACGGGCTTTTTCGGCCTTGTTCAAGCGCTCGCTTCTTTCACAAAAATAAGACCACCCGTCGGAGGTACCGCTTTATAAGTAATGCTTTCGGGTTTGTAGCGCCCCGCCTAGCGCTTCTGCGTTGTTTTCTGAAATCAAAATTTCGGTGCCGCATCCATTTAAACAGCAAATCGTCTGGCTTCGTTTCCTTCAATTCCAACATAGCACTTAGTCCGGGCCATAATAACGGAGTTTTGGTGGCCGTTGCCATCTTGCACAAAAAATGAGTGCGAAATTGCATAAAAGAAGCTTTTATAACAAACGCTCCAAAACGGCCTGGTTGGTTTGAGGCAGAAATTGCATGATAGAGGAAACTGTACAGTACACGGACTGCTCACAAACAACACACATCATAGCCACGCCGATATTAGTCACATTCCGGTTTAGGCTACACAAGCGACGAAAAGCGGACACCAATCGCTTATTATAACCAATAATTATAGCCAAATAAGGTTATTGGTGATTATAAACTAAGTATAGCGCCGGCCATCCTTTGGTTATAATCACATTCATACTGGTAGCATCTTTACGTGTATATATGATTGAGAGAGGCGGCGAGCATTTATAAGCACTTTATCCTAAGTTCGTGTTCACGTCCAAAACCCTTTTTTTTTCACACCGGCAGCAACAAAGTAAGGGCGAAGCAGACGAAAGCCATCGCTATTACTGCTACGAATGAGTCTCTCTAGACGAATGATACAATGGTCTTCACACAGAAGAATTAAACAATAGTCTCCACATATAACCAAGAACTGCGACAAGGATAAGGGGGGCGCAGAGTCCACCAATATATAACTCGGTCTTTGAATGCCAGGGAGTTGGGGACTAACTGCGATACAAAGCAAGTGCCGTCCGTCGTAGTTACACAGTCTTTCGTCTAATTTGAGAGGCGCCATGGAAGAAAGGATGCCCGGAGGATTTAGTAACAGGCGAGCTTCGGAACGGGAGTCGTTACCCAGCGAGAGACCGCACCTTTGTACCACGGCGGCAGGGATTCTAAAAGATGGTGACGTCTTTTTGGTGACGGACGCCTTTCAATCCTGTGATAACCTTGCCACTTGTTTTGGTTCAAAGCGTAGGAACGTCAACGCTTCCAAATTTAGAGTTTATCCTTTCTGTTGTTGACGAACGAGAATTTATTTGTTTTGGAGACAAGTATTTGACCAGCTGGAGTAGCTAAAGACAATTAGGCCAAATCCTTCGAGCGGCGGCAGACTGTTGCCTTCTGAGCGGATGTCTCTTTCCAGCGAGATGGCAGCTCCTTCAGGGCATGGCGACGGGGGTCTTAGTAGCTTCGATACAAAGACAGCACCATAGACGCTTAGGAATTCCACAAAGCGATAATCTCGCGTCTTTCGAGCCCAGTCGGGGGAACGTTGAAAGTGTTTTCCGAGGGAGTTTGAAATGACGCCATTTATACATAGCTTTGTTGGGGTTTCTTTTCTATTTGTTGTAGTGCGCAGAATAAAAATATTTTCCTTTCAAACTATCATGCGGCCATTTTTAATAGAAAGTACCGAGTAACGGGTAACGTAATTTGATAGCAGATACCGTAAAATAATAACGACATTACTTTACTCGTTACTCATTCGGGATTCTAACGAGTACATTAGTACGTTTCTAAAGAAACTAAAGCGTTACCAGTAACGTCGTTACTTGTAACGGGTTAGTTCCAACACTGCATATAAAAAAGACCATTCATAGGCCTCTTGTTGACTCGTGTCAGCTCTTCACTGCTATCAACTGGTTGCCATGCAGTAAATAGAACGCATGATGCACTAGCTTTATTGTGGCTTTGCGCTCTTATAGTTCATCGCAGTGAAAGAAACCGACAAATCAGCATGTATTTGAAACTGTCCAGCATCCCAAAATTATTGCTTTTGTGAACTTACTGTTATACTTTATCTTCGAATTTTGTGCAGCGTCGTGCAAAATATGGTAAAAAATAGAAGTCCTGAAAGTTTAAACTGGGGTTTTAAGCAGAATTTAAATCTTGATTTGAAGTACTCCACTTTTGTTGTGGCGATTTAAATATTATTTCTTCTAAAAATAAAATCACAAAAATATGTATTATTTATAGTTTATTTGTGACTTTACGTGCATTTATTTTGTATTTAATAAAATAATAATCGAACGAGGAATATATAGTGCAAACGACGGAATTTTCGCGTAGACCTAATCTTCGCGAATTTCGCGAACCGCCTCCGATTCGCGAACAATAGGTCCCGCGAACAATTCGGGAAAAATTTCATCACCTTGAAAGCGGCATTGAGACACCGGGGAAACACGCGTCCAAATAAAAAGGTGGAAGCCGTTTACAACTCCCTGTAACACCGAATTAGAGCGCAGCTCTTGAGGAGGAGGAGGGAAGGGTACTGGGGGGGGGGGGGGGGGCAAGTGACCTGGGGGTCACGTGACCTTGGGGGGTGACGTGACGATGCCGATGGTGCCATCAGTGACGCCACTGATGACGTCATCAGTGACGATGACGATGCGGATTCCGATGACGTCATCAGTGACGTCACTGATGACGTCATCAGCGATGATGACGATGACGATGCGGATGTCAGTGACGTCATCAGTGACGTCACTGATGACGTCATCAGTGATGATGGCGATGACGATGCGGATGCCGGGGACGTCATCAGTGACGTCACTGATGACGTCATCAGTGATGATGACGATGCGGATGCCGGTGACGTCATCAGTGATGATGATGATGACTATGCGGATGCCGGTGACGTCATCAGTGACGATGACGTCATCGGGGAGGTCACGTGACCTCGGCGGGTGTGGTCACGTGACCCTGGGGGGAGGGGGGGGTCACGTGACCTCGGGGGGGGGGGGGTCATGTGACCTCAAAGGAGGGGGTCACGTGACCTCGGGGGAAGGGGTCACGTGACCTCGGGGGAAGGGGTCACGTGACCTCGAAGGAAGAAGAAGAAGGAAGAAGAAGAAGGAAGAACAAAAGGAAGAAGAAGCGCCGGGGCGAGGAGCTTATGCTCTTTTGCTCCTGTGCTTATGTCCAAATTCGAGCCGAATTTGGACATGAGGTTGGCTAGAACACCCTTCTGAAGGCTAACGACGTCCCTTCCAGCAGGTCAGAACCCACAGTGAGTCCCGAACTCCGTATTTCGCATGTGTTTTCGACCGCCGGCGAATGTGCTTCGGAGCTAGGGCTAACTCTGGAGCTGGCCAAAGGCGAAGGGCTCCGAAGAGAGCGACATGGCTGAGTTCTTGCAACCGTCTCAGCCCCAGTCTTCGAGCAATCTCGAGATGAACATCGTTGGGCAAGCTCCTGCGACCGGCCGAATCGAAGCGATTGCTACGTTTACAGAAGCTGAAGCTTTCATCCAGTCACCGCAACGAATTCATGGAAAGCGAAAAACGAAAAGGGACCCACTGATATTTTTGGATCCCGCAATTAAACGGACCCGCCACCCTAGTAGTTCTAGTACCGGTACGAACTCCTCCGAAGTGAAGGAAGATGACGACCGCGGAACTACTGACACAAATTCTGATCGAACGGACGCCGACGCAGACTCGGACACCGGCTTCTCAAAGGCTGAGATGTCGTCCACAGAGACTCTCACCGAGGGTCCTCTTTCGACCTTCAGAGAATCAGTACATGCAGAAGACTCTCCAGGCTCCGAAGGGAACAAGGTGACATATGTCAAAAGAAAGACGCATAGACAAGGCGAGCACATTGTATCAGTGGGAGGACCTACCTTATCATACACAAGACTCAGGGGTACCGATGAGGAAGATAGGCCGTGCGACGTAATTGTTTTTCGGGCGAAGGAACCTTATGATCTTACGAGCATTCCGAAGGGCTTACTGCAGAGAACTTTAAGCCAAATAACCGGCTTAATCAATGAACTTACGTTCAGGCTGAATAGGGACACCAACACAATCTCAGTCATGGTACATTCGAGAGACGCCGCAGAAAAGCTTTTGGCGCTGCACTCTCTCACCGCACAGGATAGAGCCGTGTCGGTGGTGACCCACGAGATTCCCCCAAAGGACACAGTACGCGGCGTGGCGCACGGCATTGACTGCGGAGAGACTTCGGACAGTTTAGCGAGTGCTCTACGGTCCAAAACACACGAGGTCCTATACGCGAGACTTCTCGGCAAAAACGGGCTGGCCATGGTGACATTCCGCGGAACCAATGTGCCAAACTCTATCGTATACAGAGGGTGCATCATAAGAGTCACGCCGTATCTGTCTCACACAGTGCAGTGCTGGAGATGCCAAGGCCTAGGACACAAGCAACAAGTGCGCACCCGCGCGCTGAGATGCCCCGATTGCAGGTGGCTGAAGCAGGAACACCACGTGTGCGGACGCAAGTATTGTATCAACTGCCGATCCCACGGCAACCACCTTGCGACCGATCCCAAGTGCCCCACCAAGCTGCGGGTGGACCGCAGACTTCAGGACAGAGGCCACACAAACCGTAACCAGGCAACTCGAGACAACGAAAGATGCCGTAACACCTCGGGAGGCCGCGGCAGGAGCAGGCCTCGTAGCCCGCCCGATGTCACGCTAAAAGACTACCCTCAAGTAATAGCCACACACAACAGATATGCCGCGCTCGGCACGTTTTCTGACGGGGAAGAAGAGAACGAGATACCGAAAAACAAACCGAGAGTTACAAGTAAGAGCAGAAGAAGGCGTGATGTATCAGTGTCACGCCAACTCTTGAACAACGCGAATCGGCGAGACGAGGCCGCGGAATTCCAAAAGCGCCAACCTAAGACGCCGAGACCGCAGCAACAAGCTGGAACGTAAGCCCAAGCGGTGCACAAAATGCTCAAGACAAGTTATTATGCGGACAGTGACACTGAGGCGCAGGCCTGGATGGAAGAACTGCGGTCTATCGGCGAAGCGCGCAAGAAAAGTGCGAAACGAATTCAAGATCTTGAAGTTCACACAAAGAAAATGGAAAATAAGCACGCTGAAATTCGGATGAACGAAATAGAAGCAGAGAAGCGCCGAGCACTCAGGGAAACCGAACTTCAAAGGCGCCTCAAAGAAAAAGAAGCAGTCAGGAAATCGCAGCAATGGGCATCACAGCAACAACAACCCACGACTCACGATGTGCAGCAATCATGCAAAGCAGTATTGGTTTCCCAATCCACTCGACCTGAACAACCAGCCATCTCCGTCATCACTACGACGGTAACACAGGAATATCTTCATGCCGCACTCGCCCGAATGCAACAGCAATTGCAGCAGCAACAGCAACAAATGCAGCAACAGATGCAGCAACAAATGCAGCAACAGCTTCAACAATTCCAACAGATGCTGCCGGTGACCCATGCGGAGCACTCTGCAATGTTCATGGTCGTCCCCCAAACTCCGCCGATCCAGGTCCAAAACCGCAAAGGCTTCCAGACTCCTGAATAACGCTCCATTTCGGATCCTGCAGTGGAACTGTCGTGGGCTAGCAACAAGAAAGGCCGAACTCCTTACGCGCCTGTCAGATCCAAGATATACCTGTGACGTTCTTTTACTGCAGGAATCTCGCGCCAAAAACAATACATTGTCAGGTTTTGAAGGGCACCACAACCCTACGATAGAATACGCGGCGCGTTCACGCCAAACCCCCCTTACTAGTGCTCAGGCCACTATATATGTCCGTCATGGTGTTTCGTATATCAAGATAGACACGATGAACTGGTGTACCACCACGCAGGAGGTAGTCGCGGTCCGCGTCGCTCTCGACGGAACCGCTAAACGCCTCTTGATTGTCTCCACATACGCTCGGCCTCTCCACGCAGCTCACGATTTTTCATGGATCAAAGCGCTCCGCGATAAGTACCCCTCTGACTATGTAATATTTGGAGGAGACTTCAACGCTCGCTTTGAATCGTGGAGTTCTGCGCCACATACCCCGCGCGCACAGGACTTGTGCACTGTCCTCGAACTAACCGACCTAACGATTGTCAATAATTTAGATTGCGCGACGCGTTATGGCACATCGGCACGCCAATCGGACAGTGTAATAGATCTCACTTTCGCACCCGCGTCGACCGCCCGCCTTCTCGCGTGGACTGTGCTTCCCGACGCGTGGGGAAGTGACCATTTCCCCATAGTGCTCGAACTATATGCAGGCAAACGCAAAATGATCAAGCTACTTACGAAGACAATAAAATGGGATCAATTCCGTGCCTTTATAGAGGAGCACATTGAAGGTATCAACCCTGCTAACATTTCGGCCTTTCTCACGACGGCTACAAAGTCTGCGACTGACTTCCGCCAGGTGGATAGGAATACACCCACCCCCGACACGCATCTACTACCGCTGTGGGATCGTCGCACGGCTGCGCTTACCAAGTACCGGAGGCACAAGCGGCGCTGCTACCTGAAACGTGTGACCCTCCTAACCAAGGAAGCTAGCACATACGCCCAGACCCTCAGCCTCACACGCTGGATTGCCCATTGCGAGTCCTTCGACAGGACTACGAAGCTGGGCGAGGTGTGGCGAACTTTTAATGCTATGTATGGCAAGCGCAAGTCGTGTAGCCCTGTCCCTCTTCTGACCCTGCTTTCGACAGACACCGAGGAAGATATCCTGGATCAGCTTGGCTCAGCATTCTTCCCGCAACCTGACGATCTCCCATCCCCCGATGTATATAGACCCGTGTATGCAGACATTGTGGACACGGAAAACCCTGGGAACCAGCCGTTCACTGAGTGGGAACTTGATGCGGCAATCGCCCAGTGCAAACTTAAGAGTGCCCCCGGGCCCGATGGAGTTACAGCCCCGATGCTTCGTAATGCACCTCGTGCCGCAAGGGAAGGTATCCTTCACTGGTTCAACTCCATCTGGCACACGGGTCACCTCCCTGAGGATTGGAAGATGTCATGGGTTACCCCCATCCCCAAACCCGGCAAAAAACCGACCGACCCGAAAAACCTGCGTCCAATTTCCCTTACATCTATAATGGGAAAGTAGATGGAACGAATGGTACTTTCACGCATTCAGTGGCAAGCAGAAAACCTCCGGATCTTTCATCCCACACAAACGGGGTTCCGTAAGAATTTGAGTACCCACGATAGTCTGGCTATGATTTACCATGATGTCGCTGACTGGCACCCCAACAGCCAGCAGCTCCGGGTCGTAGTCACGGTGGACATCAAGAAGGCCTTTGACACGGTCCCACACGAAGCCGTTGTCTCCTCGATGTACGAGCAGGGCCTAGATGGGAAACAACTAGATTTTGTCCGGTCATTTTTGGCCGGCCGCCGATACCTCGTCAAGTCGGGCTACGGCCCTGACGCGCGGAGCAGTACTACCAAGGAGAACAACATTGGAGTCCCTCAAGGAGCAGTATTGTCACCGACGTTATTTAACCCATATGTGCCTGAACTTGGGGAAATTAAGAAAAGTGATTTATTTTCCCGTAATATTTGCTTCTGGGACCTCAGAAAGCGGAATCAACCTTTTATTAAAAAAAAAACAATTTTTCGAACTGTGTTTTTGTAGCCGTCCTACATATAGGACACTAGGCACATGTACTACTCATTTGAATGGTTCATTTTGAAGCATTTGACATGGACTTCGATGTCGCATTTTTCACACTATGTGGTGGTCTTTCCATGGCAATGAGCACACCTTGTTTGCTTGTCTTGAGGGATCACTGTGTGGTCAATGCGGTCAAATCGGCTTTCGGCTTCCAGTAAAGATTGCCGGCTTTTTCCACGCAATGGCTTGGAGCCATACTTCTTCATCTATGACATCGCTATCGTCCTTCGAAATGTGAGGAGTTCTGCTTTGTCCGTTCCCATTCTGTATAACTCGAATGCATTATTCACACATGCATCAACCAGATACGTCAGGAGTGAAGAATACCACTTCTTTCCTCTAATGCCTGTGTGGTACTTGGAAATATTTTGGTCTAGTCTATCAACTCCTCCCATGTTGCTATTGTATCTCGCAATCAAGAATGGCTGCTCCACTGTGACTTTGGACCTGTTATCTCTTGAATATCATTTTACCATTTGCGTTGGTTCGATGCCGTGAGCATTTAGACGACGGTCACTGTGCAGTTGTCCTTCCAGCGACATACGATAATTTCAGATTCGGCGTCGACTCTGTAATCGTAGGAGCCTCGAGTACTACTTTTCATTTGTTTCTACTGTACGTCCATGTGTCTTTTATTAAATTACCTCAACGCTACGCAGGCAACGCATCGCGCGTTCCAAAGTGACAAAACGATGACCCCCGATCTGCCTAGCGTCCTACATATAGGACACCGTTATTTGACAGACCGCGAACAAAAAACGTTTGCATATATCACGATGATATTGTTTTCAGAGCATATTCAATTACTCAGAAATAACTGACAAAAATCTCGACAACATCAAAAATCATTTGAATTTATAATAATTACGTTTTTTTCTTTGGCATGGCGTTCGTCGAAGCTCACGCGGAACGAGAAATTTGAGATTGCAAGCACGTGGCGAGGTGCGCTCCCACGCTAACCAAGACTTGCACGCGAGAAGGTGTAGGGCCTCAGAAATACCCGCGAGGGGGCGCTAGCTTTTTTACAAAAATATTTTCGAGATATTTGAAAATTTTTCAGCGTCCTACATATAGGACACTAGGCATATATGGGTTAACATCGTCGTGGCGCCGCTGCTCTGGGCCCTCCATCGTACACCGAACCTACGAGCTAGTGCCTACGCCGACGATATTACCATCTGGACATGCCAAGGCTCGGTTTTGACGCAAAAGACAGCGTTGCAAGCGGGTCTAGATGCCATCCACTCCCATCTTCGCCGCGTCGGCATGTTTCCGTCGCCGGAAAAAACAAAGTACATGCTGTACGGCCGTGGGCATTCTACCCTGGACTTGGGCCTCACTTTTGACGGTAGTCACATAAGCAAAGAGCCTGTCATAAAGATCCTTGGAGTTAATTTTGGGTACAGCTCTCAAGTAGCAGCCGAATGGGTTAAATCTATTTCGCAGCAATGGAGACACGGCCTACACCTCGTCCGTCGCATCTCCCATCGTCTGGGCGGCGCGGGAGAACGTATCGCCAAGATTCTAGTCACGTCCGTCCTTGCTTCGAAGCTGGCCTATGCAGCGCGTTTCTACTCCCTCAAACGAGTCCATTTCGACAAGATTGCAACGCTGTATAATGAGGCCCGCCGAACCATCCTCGGGCTCCCTCGACACACACGAACGTCAGAGCTTCGCAAGTGCCTGCACCTCGTCGACCTTCGAGAGACACTGGAGCAGCAACTCGACATCCACATGGCCCGACTTGAGCATACGCTCCAGGGGAGGGCAGTTGCTCGTTTCATTGGAGTAGCTGTAACGAACATAAACGACCTGCCGCCTACCAAGCCTCCATGGGATCTTATTGATCTTACGCAACATGCCCGACCTGTCCCGCGAAATATGGATGCCAAGCGCCACGCCAAGCGTCGGGAGCATTATGCTCGTCAACACCAAGCCGAGGTCACCGCATTATCTCAGGACCCTGCACAGGTCATCGTGTATACGGATGCTGCCCTGCACACCTCCGGTTGGTCTGCGACAGCTGCAGTGTTCCCGTCCCATGATCCTGCACAGTGCGATCCTATCGTTGTTGCAAACACCAACATGACCCCTTCATCGCCCGAACAAGCCGAAGCCCGCGCCGTCCTCCTCGCCCTCCAGACGTATGAGGTCAGGAATCCAGGGCCCGGCACGCTTACGGTGTTCACAGACTATCAGAACACGATTCGCGCGCTTAAAACGCATCTACTCACATCAAGTCCGACAATTGCCGCTATTTACGACACTGCACTTCTCCTGTACCGCCATCGAAGAGTCCGAGTCAGCGTACGCTGGGTTCCAGGACATGCGGGAATTGACGGCAACGAGAAAGCCCACAAGGCTGCATTGGAGGAGCTGCACAGAGATTTCCCCTCCTCCCAGCGGACCTTACCGGTGCCTCCCGCGTCGCCCAACGATGACCAGTTTCCCGAAGACGAGGCCTACGTCTACGACCCAGTCTATGCTGTTCGCCTCGTCCGTCGGGACTGGAAACGCCGACTCGACGCCTCTTGGACCCCAGAACAGTTTCCAATACCCGAAAACACCTTCCGTAGGCACCAGATGGTCCTGCTTCGACGCATTAGGACAAGTGGAGCGGTCACGCCTCATCATGTCTATCGCTTCGAGCTGACCCGGCAACGTAAACTTGACCGTTACTATGTCCCACCAGACCCTCGCTGCCAGCGATGCAAAAACCCAGATGCCCTCCCGAAACTTCACCATCTCATTTGGGAGTGCGCAGCTCTGGTTGCCCAGCGTCAAGAAGCCTGGGCTACTCTTCTTCCTGAAGACCTTCCGACGACCATGCAAGAATGGGCGCATCCTGCCGGCGACTCCGAGCGCCGGACGAGGGTCC